GGCGGACGTACGACAATGGAGAGAAAAAACCAGAGATAGGAAACAGTGGAGAAAAATAACAAGAAAATTTAAATAAAGAAAATTAGGACTGATCTACCTCGTAAAATAGATCTAGAGAGCTTAAGCGGCGTAACCCCGTACGGGGTGTTTAGCCACAATATAATATAATATATGTATATATATATATATATATATATATATATATATATATATATATATATATATATATATATATATATATATATACGGATATATTGGGTTTAGTAGTCAATATATTGGCCTTTAAAGTAGGCCTTTAGTAAAACTCTTTTAGGTTTGCTAAGCTTTCGAGTTTATTTTACTCTTTTTCAAAACATACTAAAAATTAACATAAAAAATTTACATTAGAAAAATGAAGTTCTTATGTCTTCAATAGACTTCAATTCTCACAAGGGTAAGCCTATTGAAGACATAAGAACTTCATTTTTCTAATGTAAATTTTTTATGTTAATTTTTAGTATGTTTTGAAAAAGAGTAAAGCCGGATTTATAAACGGACATAAACATAATTTTAGTCTTTAACCATAATCTTATTATATAAGCATAATGTTAAAAGTTAATAAATAAATGTACCCATTTAAAAGCATCCGTAATACATAAGACATAAATTTAGTCCTTAAAACGTGACCTTGAAAGTTGGTAACTTTCAACATTTATGAATTAAGTATTAAACATTATGGAATTGTTGGAATATGCGCATGCGTTGGTAGAATCATCTGCAGTTTCCTCCTATACATAACCCTACTATTTTAATTTAATATTTTTGGAGCGAATTCAACGACATATTGTTTTGGTATTGTTTCGTAACTTAAAGCAACTTTTCTATTAATCTTCATATTTAAAGTTAATTAATTAATTAAAATTATTTCACTTTTCTATGAATCTAAAGACCAGAAAAAAATTCTTTATGCTGTATAAAAATTTGGTTAGGTTTGTATTTTCTGAAGTAGTTCTTAAATATTAAGGTTATGTATTATGTCTAGTTATAAACTAATCTTAAATCTTATGAATTATGATTGTGGTTGAAGTTATGTTTATGACTTATGATTATGTACTATGTCCGTTTATAAACCTGCCTTAAAATATACTCGAAAGCTTAGCAAACCTAAAAGAGTTTTACTTAAAGGCCAATATATTGACTACTAAACCCAATATATCCGTATATATATATATATATATATATATATATATATATATATATATATATATATATATATATATATATACATATATATATTTACTGTCTGTTTTATATCTGCCTTTTTTCGCCATCTCTTTCTATTTCTTTTATCCTTCTTTCACCTGTTTTCTATCTGTGTTATGATTGTTTTATACATGACTATGCTTGACATATTATAAATGATATGTATGTTTTGTCTTTATTGTATATTTTCTTTGGTTGTCTTTTTATTTTCGATTTATCATTTCTTTTCTGAATGTGTTATCTTTTGATTTTCTTAGCCTTTTGGCTTTAGACATTTTATTCGTTTTCTGGATGTTTTACATCAATATTCTGTCTCTTTTTATCTGTTCTTTGTCACATTTGTATTTATTTCTAAAGCTGTTCTAATCCAGATCACTAGGTGAATTGGAACGCTATTGAAGTAGCCCGCTAATATTCGTTGCTATAGACGGGATATTGTTGTTAATAATGGTAATGCGAAGAAGGTATCGCAGAATATGAAATATTTGAGGTACCTACTTAAGACAGGTCTCTTGGACGAATACGAAGATGTTGATGCTGCATTTTGTAAGTTGTATTGCTCATATTCAGTTACAAGCCTTGGAATTTTTGCTTTGATTTCTATTTTTAGTGGTAAGGAAAATGTTCTATTCTCTATTTTTTTTGAACCTATTCTCTATCCTTCCATTGTTGGATATAGGTCTCCCCCAGTTCTCTCCATCTTTCCCTATCTTGAGCTGTTCTCTGCCATGTGGGACCTCCTTGTTTCCTGATGTCATCTTTCCACCTCATCTGTGGTCTGCCTCTTGATCTCTTTGGATTGTATGGACGCCACTTTCCGATGGTATTGTTCCATCGTCCGTCTTGGAGACGTTCATTGTGTCCAGCCCATTTCCATTTCAGTTTTGCTGCTTGTTCTACCGCTTCTTTTATTGATTAAAAAAAGAACATAACGCATCACTTTTTTCGATGGCAGTGATTTCTGTTTTATTTTTCCTTGTCTGAATATAGTCTTAAAATACTTGTGCGACTGGAGGAGGAGAGTGTAATGGCATGGTAACATTCTTTACTGAAGAGTGTTTAGGTTTCTTGCTTGCTACGGTAGTAGCAAGTACAGTACAGTTTTGAATTTTGAAATCACATCATCATCATTTTTACTTGCTGTGAGTTTTTAACAGTTTCATCGTATTTGTTAACATCCATAGGATCGCTATCTTTTTCTTTGTCAACTTCAGTATAGAAGGCTGGCTTTAGATGGATGAGCCGGTGGAGTAACAGTGGCTGGTAGAAAAATCTCCAATTTAAGATTTGCTGATGACACCACATTTACAGCAGCAAATGAGCAAGAAATGTTTATTCTCCTGCGAAGAGTTGAGTACAAAAGCAATAAAGTTGGTATGAAAATCAATAAAGCTAAGACAAATATAATGGTGGTCGACAGATTCCACACTATTCAACTGACTAACATGTTACAGGAATACCAGATTGTGGACAGTTTTGTCTATATCGGGTCTAGTGTAACTAACGATGGTAACTGTGAAGCAGAAGTTCAGAGACGTATTGGTATGGTAAAAAAATGCGATGAGTCGCCTATAAAGTTTGGAATAACAGATCTATCTCTCAAGATATTAACATGAGACTGGTGAATGCCCTTGTACTTTTAATATTTCTATACGGGGCAGAGACTTGGACTCTTCGCGGACGCGAGCGCCAAAAAATTGATGCCTCTGAGATGTGGCGCTAGAAAAGAATGCTGCTTATACCTTGAACAGCTCATAGGACAAACGTTTCCATTCTAAACCCACTCGACATTAAAAAAAGGCTGTCCACAATATTTCTGCAACGTGTTCTGCAATTTTTCGGTGACGTAATTCGTAGATTCGTAGAAGAGAATAAGTGTTTCTGGAAACGTTCCGGGAGAAGATCAAGATGACAATCACCAGCTAGACCAAATTAAGAATTCAGCTGGAAACTCATTCTGTGAAGCTCACAGAGCAGCTGAAAATAGAGACCAATGGGGAAAAATTGTTCAAAATATTGGAAGAAATCACGATCCTCGGTCATGGGAAAACGACAAGAGAGAGTATCAAATTAGAAATTTAATACCTTTCTGCTATGCGGAATTATAAATGACATGACTGTTTCGATTTTTCATGGACGAAATTGTTTAGCTGCTTGTCCGCTTGTAGTTCTTCATTTTCGGTAAGCTTTTCTGAAGCTATCTCCAAGCGATATCCATTTCAAATAATTGCTTATACCCAACACTTTTATAAACTATTATAGTGATATTCTACAAGTTTTGTGTGTATCATGTTTCATTCAGAACCAACCCCACCAGCGTTGCGAAAACATCAGAATAGTTAGTAAGTGAGGAATTTTTAAAATGTCAACTATTTGTCAAATTATTATATTAACAGTAAATACACTTAGTTTTAAAACTACTGCAACACATTAAAATGCATAGGAAAACTTTTTAATACAAAATTATATATTCTAAATTTTAAACTTACCTCTTTTAGGGTTTTAATAACAAAAACGTCCCGTCATTATTTTTTGTTCAAAATAATCTATCTTATATGAAAGCTTATCAGCTTTCTACAGACTTTTATCTGTTTTGGCATATCACAATCACAATACACAACAATAACTAGTTTTTAAAACTATTAATCTAAATTTAAAATGTATTTATAAATATAATTTATTAATATATATTATATTATGATCAAATTGTGTAAGAAATCAAAACACAAACAAAATTTCTACTCTAAAAAAGCGGCAACACTTTATACACTTTTGCCACCCGCTGAACTGTCAATAATATTTGATATATTTCCGTATCAGTTGAGTACAATTGTCTAATACATTTAATTAAAATTATTTTTTTGTGGAATATTAGACTTAAAGAGTTATTTCATAAAATTTATATTATTAATAATAATAAATGTTTTTGGTTATTTAATCCATATAATTCTAAAATTTCCAATATAATGATGATTATATTTTTCTAACTATTACACCATGTTGACGCCTATGAAAGATCGAGCAGTTCCGTATGGGTTTCTTATTATTAGCTGTGTTAGGACAATTTGAACTCTAAGGTTGATGTTCTGGAAATTTTAAATACAAGTGATGTCACTTTGTATAATTCGTGACGTGCAAGTGTTTTACTTTGAAAAATGGTATATGTAGAAAGCATCAGGTATTAATAATAAAACTAAAGTTCTTTTTTGTTTTAGATTTATTGGTCACGTTATTGGTCACGTTTACTCATTCACCACATCATCAATTAGCTACAGACTTGGATATAGAACAGTCTGTACCATTGTTTATGAAACTTTAGATTTTATTTGGGAAAACTTAAAACCTGTTGTTTTACTTAATCCAAGCAAAGAGCACTGGGAAAAGATTGAGCCCGTTTTCACTAAATGTGGAATTATCCAAATTGTTGTGGAACATTAGATGGTAAGCATGTGCTCAAAGAGAAGTCTCCAAGAAGTGGAACACTTTTTTTTAATTATAATGATCAGCATAGTATAGTTCTATTGACATTAGTGGATGCGACATGTAGTATAGAAAGAAGACGTTACGACTAAAATTACTTCATTCTCATCTTTCTGGATAGTTTCTTCTGCCACTCTTTTATTGCAAATCTAAAAACTACTAAACCGTAATTTCAGACATGCCGTATATCAAAGATTGTTAAGTCATTCAGATAAGGAAATTGCTTATGTATAAGGTAAAAAGTTTTCATTCCAATACGTCTTTATCACTTTTCGACTATGCAACAATTATTTTTTTGTATAATTTTGTTTTCAACATATTGCATTTTAACAAAAGGTAAATTACTTTTTAACTTTTTAATACTATTAGTTAAGTCAGTTTTCTGTTCTGTAAGTGAATGTATTCTTTTGAAATTAGACGATACAATGCTTGTATTTTTCATTTGATTACAAGATCTTTTGTACAATAACCTATGCCTTCACTAAACTATATCAAGTATCTTTGTATTCTTAATAACAACCAGCCGTGTTCTTAATGAAACCTAACAATTTCTTTATTTTTTGAGCCTATGCTTTCTTCTTCTTCTCTAACCGTTCTTATAATTATGTTGATTTAGGCCTCTCTTATTATTGCTCTCCAGTTTTCTTTATTCTGGACTAGCGGTACCAATTTAGTGCTATTCTTTTCAAGTCGTCGTACCATCTTTGTTGTGGCTTTCTATGCTTTTTCTTTCTTTCCATAGTCTTCATGATTTACTACTATTGTTGAAGCAATTTAATTTGCCTACCACATTGGGTGTCACTTGTAACAATATATACAGCTTACCACGTTGCTGGGAGACAGTTGTTAGAATATATAAATGCTTATAAGGAGTTAAAAGGGGGAACTGAGCAATTACTGGGCTGCAGATATGGTAAGCAAAAAAACTGAAACGTTTGTGAACGGCTACCCTTTGTTTTGGTTGGAGAGCTTGGTCGTGAATAAGCGTCTTTATTTGAGGAACTGGGAAACTAACTACACGAAGAAAGAAATAACAAAAATACTTGCAGAGATTTACTGGGCAACAAACACAAGAAGACTCATAAACTATTTAAATTGGACGCCGTTTAAAAAAAACCCTCTTGCTGGACAAAGGATGAAAATCTTTTTAAGGGAAATAATTTTTATTTATTTTTTTTATTATTGAGTTAATGCCTCGACAACTATGATCATTGGCATGGTACGGTCAGGTACCTAGTGTAGTGTGTGTGTGTGTGTGTGTGTGTAGAGTAATTGTCTTGATACTTAACAAAGTTGACGTCATTGTCTTTGCTAAGAGACGCTAATTGTATCTGAACGTCTGCGGTCTCCGGTGAGTACCGATCGCACAAGGATAGAAATTATTTTCATTCATTAATTTTTAATAAACAAATGTTTATTACACTCCAAATGGTTTTTTGTTATTCTGGTTATGAAGTAACATTATTTCTAACTAACCTAACCTAACTAAACTTAAAGTTTTAGCAGTATTTATATAATTACCAGGCTTTGTCTACAACTCTTCTGCAGCTGCAGAAAAAGAGTTGTTTAGACCCTTTGGCAATAATTAGAACTGCTTTCAGACGTCCTTAAACCATGTCCAAAAATGTGTCGTAGTGGATAAAGGAACATACCATTTTAGGAATTTTCAGTGAGATATTCTCTTTTAGGTACCATTTATATACCTATGTAGTCAAGAGGAATCAGTAGCCCTCAAACATGGTACCAGTAAACGTTTTTTTTTAGATTACCTGACTAGGTTTTTCCTACTTTGTGATATTTGTTTTTGACTTCACTTATGTAGCAGAGAATAAACGATTCTGATTAGAGATTAATCAATAAGCCATCGAGAAATTTTTGGAACAATGTATGAAGAATAAACAAGAAGTTACAACTTCTATAATAAGTTTCTCTTTGACACTCCTTTTAATGTGTTTTGTTGGTGCGAGAACATTTTTGATTGCAGGATTTGTCAAGCTTGAAACCTTGTTGTTCTTAAATGAGTTGTTTGACTTGGTATATTGTAGGTTCTCTGGATTCTTCGAGGGTTTTAGCAACGTTGTTGTTGTAACTTTTTTCCAAGGCTTTGGAATTTTGCAAGCTCCGCAGCTCGTTGTAGACTTGCACAGGAACTATTTTTTCTTCCTTGCCATGGATGATTAATATGTTCAATGCATATAATGACCTTTATCTTTTCTATTTTAACTGCACGTATCATGCAATTTTTAATTGTAGACTTTAATTCATAATTTTCATGATTGTTTCAGGATCATGGACAAAATGTAGGTGAGTAAGAACTTTTTTACTTGCTAAAAGTCGTAAACTATGTTTTGTTTTTATCTTAAAACACGATAAATTGTATATCAATGTCTATTTGTTAACGTCCACTAAAGAATCAAAAAAATCTGAAAACTGGAGTTTAATAATCAAAAATGTATATACAAATAACGGTGCAGGACTTATCACGGGTAATCTTCTAAGTCCATTACTATCAAATATTTTCATGGATCTTATAGAAACAAAGATTTCAAAACATCCCGTATTCAAACAGTTTTCATATTGGTGGAGATACGTGGACGATGTACTGGTATACTTTACAGGAACTAAGATGTCACTTGACCAATTCTTATCGTATATTAATTCGCTCCATAGTTATATTTAATTACAATAAAAACATAACAGGATCAATCCATAAAATTTCTAGGTTTAAACATTGTCAAACTCGAAAACAAGCATCAATTTTCTGTATTCCATAAACCTATTTTATATTATAGCGGTAAACCATCACAACAGGTTTTGTCCAGTAATCATAATTACCATCATTTAGACTCCAACGTCCACTGCCGACTACATGTCTCTGCATGACTTTCCACTTGCGTCCTATTTTTGATAAAAAGGGTATAAGCGTGGTTCCCAAGCAGTTTTCGAAAATAATAGCTGTTAGAGGACAACGTCAAGTAGGTGTCTTAAGTTCTGCTGAAAGAGGCACCACTGTCACAGCCGAAATATGTTGTTCAGCTGCTGGATGTTACATGCCTTCAATATTAATTTTTCGGCGAGAAAACAAAAAAAAAACGTGAATATAAAACAGGTCTCCCACCAGGAGGCTGGTGGGAGACGTGACAATGGTGTGTTAATATTGTGCTTTCCTCCTCATTGCTCTCACAAAATTCAACCATTGGACGTTGCATTCATAAAGCCCTTGAGCTTGTATTATGAGGATGAAATAAGGAAGTGGCTCAGGTCGCATCCAGGGAGAGTGGTTCAGCTTTTCGACATATCAACACTTTTTGGCCAGGCTTTCTTAAGTGCAGCAAATATGAGAACTTCCATTAATGGCTTTGAAAAATCTGGTATCTGGTCAATGTGAATAAATTCACCGATGATGACTTTCTACCATCAGCAACAACAGATATTCGCTTGGAAAATCTTGTTGGCAGTACAATCCAGGAAACATCGCCGGCTATGCCAGAGAAAACTGACTCAACGCCAACTACATCAGTACAGAAGCATTTCTCCTCACCCCATGTTCATCCCACACTCGTAGTTGATAATCCTGTCAAAAATAATCCATCTGTACCGACAATTGACGAAAATCTTCCCCCACCAGTGAATGTCCCTAAACCCGGATCTTCTTGGATACCCGATTCCCCTCTTCGTACTAATGCCGACACACATTTTTCAGTCACGTCGCCAAGAGACCTAATTCCGTTGCCAAAAGTTGAAGCCGGAACAAAAAGGTCTGAAACAAGCGTGGAAAGACTGCTGTCCTTACCGTCTTACCTTATAAGGTTTAACTGGAAGAATCTTTTAAATCGATGCAAGCTATAAAAGAAGCTAAAGAGAAAAAAATTGAACAGAGAATAATGTTTAAAAATGATGAAAACAAATCCAGAGAAATTGAAACTCAACGAAAAAGGAAAGAAAATAAGAACAAACAGGTTAAAACTAAGGCAAAGAAACAAAAAATATCTGAAACTGAATCCGAAGAGAGCGCAGAAGAAGAAGATACGGCCTGCTTGTATTGCCATGATTACTAGTACTAAGTCCAATGGTGTTCTTGTAGCATTTGTAAGAAATGGCACATCTAGTATGTGCTGGTTTAGATAGTGACTATGATGAAAGCGTTCTCGTCTGTGAACTTTGCCAATGACATTAGCTATAGTATGGCACCCCATTGTGCCCCGGGGGGTGGGGCAAAATTGGAAATTTCTCTTTATTTTTGTATTGCACATTTTTCTGAGAAACGTTTGTTATTTATAACTTTAGCTATATTTTCCTTATAAAGAAATAAATAAATAAACAAGATTTATCAAATGATGGTGTAGTTTCATTGAATATCGCACAAATTACTATCAACCTTAGGTACCCCGTTCCACCCCGAGTTTCCCTATATGGTTGATTTCTCTATAACGTTGTATATTTTTAAATTTTGTAGTGAAGAGAACGAAATACAATATTATGAAAAACTAGTAACCAGAAGCAGAAAAAATGCTTTAGCAGCTGTTTTATCTACAAATGCCAGAGAATACCAACCGAAAAATCAAACAGTTATTGGTCAGTATACACAGCAATATCAAATAATCATTTAATAGAAAATATTGTTTAGATATTTAATTCATATTTTATAGTATATATTACGAATTTCCGACTATTTTGGATTAGGTACCATTGGCTGTAGAGTGTCTAACGATATACTTTGTACAATAGAATATATTTGCCTTTATTTATATGCAGTCTTGGTTTTCCCAATTAGGTTTAACTACAGTTTCTGTCGTATCATACCAATAGTGTTCGCGGTACGAGTAATGAACGCGTTCAGGATCAGTTCAGAATCCTCTTAGTAATCAGGTTGAACGCAAGAACGGTTCATAATCAGTTCAGGATTGATTTACACCGCGAACGAATTTCGAACAACCTTCAATTCAGTCTCTAGTGCCTGGTTTGTTTTATTTTATATCCTAGCCTGATTTGTTGAAGAGCTTTTTGTAGAAATGGTGAGATATCTTGTATGCTATAACACAGTTTATTCTGTAAAAAAGATAACCAAACAACAAATAATTCACAACTTACCTACGAAATCAACCGATGTAAAAATATTTTAAAAATAAATTAAATATTAAATTTAAAAAAATAAACTTCTTAACCTAAACAATATCTCCTTCTTCTTCTTCTTCAAGTGCCATCTCCGAGGCAGAGGTCGGCAATCATCATAGCTATTCGGACTTCTGAGACGGCTGCTTTGAAAGGTTCATTTGATGTACATCCGTACCACTCTACCAGGTGCCATGACATTCTGCACCTCCCTATGCTTCTCTTGGATCTTTCCCTGCATAATCTCCGTGTAATATGTCCGAGATATTCCAATTTTCTTGTTTTAATTGTATTTAAAATTTCTATTTCTTTGTTCATCCTTCTCAGAACCTCTTTGTTTGTGACGTGTTCTGTTCACGATATTTTCAGAATTAAGAATTAAGAAAGCCGAGCCAGCGTAGGAATAAAGGCAAAAAGAATAATGATAATTTTATTAAAATGTTTTTTATACTTACACTAATACATATTTTTACAATAAAATATTTATCTATAGATTATGGTGAATATGATTTCATAATAGTTGGTTCAGGATCATCTGGTTCAGTATTAGCTAACAGGCTCTCGGAAGTAGACCATTGGAGAATTTTAGTGTTAGAAGCTGGAGACTTTGGTAACGATGAAACTGATATGCCTGGCTTGTACGCAGATCTACCTTTTACCGACTATAACTGGGGATTCAAAACTCAACCACAACAAACTGCTTGTTTAGGTAATTTTGAATAAAAAATCTTGCTTATTACCTACTATTATGCTTATATATGCTATTTGCTAGGTATGGTAAATAAACAATGTATGTTTCCACGTGGGAAAGGTTTTGGTGGCACCAGTCTAATCAACATGCTGGTTTACTCCAGAGGTTCCAGTCTAGACTTCGACAAATGGGGAGAAGTAGTGGAAGATTCAAGATGGTCGTATAACTCAGTTCTACCATACTTTATAAAATCAGAAAAATTTAACCACCGTGATCAGAAAGCTCCAGTTAACTGGACAGTTCATGGTACCAACGGTTTATTGAACGTTGAGTACCATTTACCAAGAAATCCTCAAGCAGATGCGTTTATTGAAGCCAATAGGGAAATAGGAGAACCGATTGCGGATTATAATGGAGGTACAGGATTGGGAGCGTCTGTTTATCAAACAACAACTTTACATGGCAAAAGAGATGACACTGGGAAAGCCTTTTTACAACCATTTCTAAAAAGGAAAAACTTGAAACTTAAAAAATATAGTTATGTAACAAAAATTTTAATTAATCGTAAAAATAAGACAGCAGAAGGAGTGATATTTTCCTGTCGAAGAACTAAGAAACAGTACACGGTTAGAGCCTCCAAAGAAGTAATCATAAGCGCTGGTACTGTGCAAACTCCACAACTATTAATGCTATCTGGAATTGGACCAAAACGACATTTACACTCGTTAAAAATTCCTGTTGTACAAGATTTAGAAGTGGGAAGTAAATTAAAAGATCATCCCATGGCTTTCGTTATTAACTTCTCAACAAAAAACTATAGTGCTCCAATTCGACCTCTCAGAGATGATGTTGTAGATTATCTGAAAGGAGTCGGACCATTGACTTCTCAAGGAAATTCACTGGCAGTTGGATTTTACGAATCTTCATACACCAAAGGTGAGTACTGTAATGTTTGTATAATTCATTTCAAAATGATTGATAGCGTTTCTATGGCATAGCTGTATTTTCTTGTCTGAAATGTTGCAGTAATTTTAATAAACCAAAATGTGGATTTATAATAATCAAAATAGAAAAGTTTTGAAAATAGTAAAAATAAGAATTACCCATTCACTCATAAGACCTGTAGTAACTAATAACCTATGCGAGTGAATCAAGGACGATGACAAAACACAATGAGAACCGATTTAAAGTCACAGAAAGAAAAATTCTTAAAGAAATTAATGGACCGATTAAGGATAACATCACACAACAATACATAGTGAGAACTAACCGAGAATTCGAGTAAGAACTAACCGAAAATTGGAAAAATTATAACCATACGATAATCCCAAGTAATTTGTATGATAATTAGCAAGAAAAGAATAACACAAGGTTAACTCTACTTCAACCCCTTTAGAAAGAGTGACGCACTACAAACTACGAGACCGACGAAAAAAGAAAGAATGGATGTCTGATGAGATAATGGATATGATGGATGAAAGACGTAAATTCAAGAATAAAAATGCAGAAAAATACCAGCAGATCCACAAAACCATAAGAACGAAAATTCGAGAAGCCAAAGAAAAATGGTTTTCCAACGAATGCAGGGAAATAGAACAAAACGAACGAAAATACGACAGTTACAATATGCACAAAAAAATAAAATCGATGACAAACAAGAGGAAATGCAAGTCACCCAACAGCATAAAAGATAGCGATGGAAATCTTATCTCGGAGCCATCAACGATCTTAAAAACATGGAAATCATACATAGAAAAATTATTTGCATCTAACAGGACTGATGATCACCTATATGGAGAAGGAGAAACAGGACCTTCAATTATTAAATCGGAGATAGAAGATGCCATTGCAGCACTAAAAAAGTCAGCAGGTCCGGACAATGTACCCTGCGAAATATTAAAGATCCTATGTAAATCAGACAAACAGTTCCTTGACAATCTAGTTGTACTTTTTAACAACATATATAATAGCGGTAAAATCCCGGAGAACTGGCTACAGTCAACATTTATTACAATCCCGAAGAAACCAAATGCCCAGATTTGTGATTACTACTGGCTCATAAGCTTGATCAATCATGTCACTAAAGCGTTCACTAAGATCATTCACAGAAGAATATATGATAAATGTGAGTCAAATATTGATAGATCGCAGTTTGGTTTTCGGAAAGCACTTGGAACTAGAGAAGCAATTTTCGCTCTCCAGGTGCTTATACAACGGTGTAGAGACGTTGATAAAGACGTGTATCTGTGCTTTGTAGATTTTAGAAAAGCATTTGACAATGTCAATCATGAACAATTGATAGGTATTCTGCGAAAGACAGGTATTGACGACAAGGACATTCGAATTGTGGCAAACCTATACTGGGGTCAAACAGCAAGAGCAAAAATTGGCAACGAACTCACTGAAAGCGTGCAGATCAAAAGGGGTGTCCGTCAGGGGTGTATATTATCCCCACTCCTATTCAATATGTATTCCGAGGAAATATTTAACAAATGTATGGAAAATGCAAATGAGGGCATTAAAATAAACGGCGAGTTAACGAACAATATAAGATACGCCGACGACACGGTGATCCTTGCCAGTACCATAGACGAATTACAACAAGTAATGGAAAGACTTTATTCAGTTAGTGAGGAATACGGCCTGAGCCTCAACTTCAAGAAGACAAAGTGGATGCTGATAAGCAAAAAGCAACAACCTGCTCGACAACTACGGATAAGTAACATATTAATTGACCATGTAGAATCTTATGTGTACCTTGGCACTAACGTAAATGCAAAATGGGAACAGACCATAGAAATTAAGGCGAGAATAGAACGAGCTAGAGCAGCATTTAGCAATATGAAAAAGCTCCTCATAAGCAAGGATTTGTCTCTTCCCCTAAAACTACGTATAGTTAAATGCTACATTTTTCCGATCTTGCTGTATGGCGTGGAGGCCTGGACGCTGACGGAGACGCTAAAGAGAAAACTAGAAGCATTCGAAATGTGGGTGTACCGACGCATTCTTCGTATATCCTGGACCGAACATGTCACCAACATAGAGGTACTCCAAAGAATCGGAAAGAAGAAAGAAATCGTGAATACAATTAAACAAAGAAAGCTGGAATATCTAGGCCACATATTGAGACACGATAAGTACCGTCTGCTACAATTGATTGTCCAGGGAAAAATAGACAGTAAGCGAGGGCCAGGCAGGAGAAGACACTCGTGGCTCCAAAATCTGCGGAAGTGGTTCGGGCTCACATCGGTCGAACTATTCAGAAGCGCCGCAAACAAGATCAAAATTGCCATGTTAATAGCCAACGTTCGCAACGGACAGGGCACTTGAAGAAGAAGAAGACGCACTACAACTACCTCGGCACCATAATAAATGAAGAATAGACCAACAACCAGAAAATAGAGCACGCATCGGAAAAGCTAGATCTACCTTCAATCGCATCTGGACCTTCTTTAAGAGTCACAACCTCTCTCTTGATATAAAAGTAAGAATGCTGTGATGCTACGTCTTTTCTGTCCTTTTTTAGCGGAGAGGAGAAGAAGAGCGGAGAGGTACTAACCACCATCAAATCTCGAAAGTTACCGTTCTTCGGACATATTATGCGAAATGAATCCAGATATGCTCTCCTTCAAGCCACTGTGCAAGGAAAAATATTTGGAAAACGAGGTCCAGGAAGAAGACGAACATATTGGTTAAAGAACCTCAGAATCTGGTTCAATACAACATCTGTACAGCTTTGCCGCGCTGCTGCTGATAAGATAAAGATTTCCATGATGATCGCCAACATTCGTAACGGATAGACACATCAAGAAGAAGAAATTTGTACGCCCGGTCTACCGTTAATCCAAGGACAATCTCATGTGTTCCAGTGTGGGTCTTCGATGTAAGCCAAATGACTGTATGTTGCATTTTTTAGTCCCTATGCAATCGAGTTTTTGCCAGGCAAACATGGAGTCACCTGTGCCTCCAGGAGTTTTCTATACAGGAAGCCAACGTGCAGTCATTTTATTTTTGATTTTTTTTTTCTTATATATTTTGATAGTATTGTATTGTTTGATAATTTTGATTTAGTTTGATTTAGTTCTCATGTTTATTAAAGTAAAGTATATTATGTTCTTCACTGCGGAGGCGTCCAGATCTGACCTAATTTCCTAAGGCTTGTTCATTTAAATTTTATCATTGATCATATTTTATCATAGGTCATTTTTATAAATTTTGTACCAAACCGAGACAAACAGGGTATCGATATTTATAGTTTTTCTATATTTAAAAAACTGTGTTATTATGAAATTTCAAATCGAATACAGATATTTTTAAAAAAAAAAACACAAAAATCTTCATCTTCTTCTAGTTTATTCCATGGAAAAGTAATTAGCTATTATTAATGAATTTATATAATAATTTGTAGGAACCGGCTTGCCTGATATAGAGCTTATAATGTATGTATCCAACTCTACAGGTCCTACGTCTCAAAAACAGTTTGGTCTCACTGACCAATCATACAGCAAGACGTGGAAAGACGTAAATGTGACGACCAATTGCCTAATATTGGCTGTAGCGTTGCATACTGCTTCAACAGGTTCAATAAGACTTAAGAGCTCTGACCCCTACGAATATCCTTTAATAAATCCCAGATTTTTATCAGATCCGAAGAGTGAAGACATAGAAAAGTTATATGAAGGCTTGATGCTATCTCTAAAATTGATTAAGACTAAAGCCTTTCAGAAAATTGGAGCTAAAATTGATGAAAGACCATTAACAGCGTGTGAGAACTTCGAGTATGCAAGTAAGGATTATTGGATGTGTGCCATAAGACAGTTATCGACGGATGTTTATCATCCTACCTCCACCTGTCCAATGGGACCTTATCCTGTTAAAGGTGATGTTGTTGATTCTGTTTGTAGAGTTCACGGAATGAAACAGCTGAGAGTAGTGGACGCCAGTGTCTTTCCTTTTACTTTAGGTGGACACGTTAATGCACCTACTATAATGGTAGCTGAAGTTATTTCAGATGTGATTAAAAAAGAATATAATATAAATGTATGAAGAAAATAAATTATTATTTGAATTTAGTTTATTTCATTTGTGTTTTGTTTCCCTAAAGCGTTGAAAGTGACTTGCATCATCTTGCAAATCTTACATTGCAAACCTGTCGTAACTTGTTTAGTTTATACATTGCATTCGCTATGGCTATACGAATGCATTAAGCGTTAAGGCCGTTCTTCGCGATTCTGGGCATAGCTAAATTCCAATGTAAAAGTTTATATGCAATAACGCAATAATTATGGCAGATATTGAGATGATTCTTTTTTACATGAAAGGTCTAAAAAAGTTCTAGTGCCCTATTTGGTTGTAATTTAATAAATATTGTTTGAGCAATATTTTTTTTAAATATTTTTGGTTAATATAAACGTATTTTTTTTTAAATAGGGCACTACAGAATTTGACCAACTTTCCGAATCTGTTTTTATTTTTACCATAAAGTGTAACACAAAGCAGCTATTTGGTATAAACTTTTTACAAAATCTCAAAGTTCTACTAAATTTAACTCTTTCTCGGTCAGTACAGGCTGTTCTTGTCGATAGCTTCTGGATTTTCGCCGACAGGTAGGTAAGAAGTATACACCCTTTCGGGGGTGGCTCATAAATAATCTTGAATAACATTATTTGGGCTTATTATGACTTTTGACAAACTAGTGTGTTAACCAGTATTGCTTCCACTGGAATAAGCTTGACCGTTCAACTTTGCCCGGACTACCTCCTTCTAATTCTTTACACTCCTGTTTTAAAATTAATAATACTCATTATTTTGTCTAATTACCTATTTAATTGTCAAAACAGATACATTGTTACCCAAAGAAGTGAAAGTGGTTCAATTTAGAACTTATATAGTAAATAATAAATATTTGAAAACTGATGCACATATCCCGCTATTCCGAAATTCCTCCCGCTATTTGGGCTTCAAGTACTACTTTTATAAATCGTTCCACTAATAGACGTAAATCGTTTCATTTTAATTTCATGAATGTTTTTATTCGCCACATCTGAACATTTTCCATTTCAGAATATTTATCATGAAACTGTAATCTACGATAAAAGCCAATTTGTCATTAAAAAAAGTAACAAAAGAGAAAAAAACGAAAGAAAATATAAGACATAAAAAATACGAATTCAGCAATACTGTGACCTCAAAATATCTTGTTATACATTATTTTTTAATAAAATTTTATAAAAGTTTGCCTTCGATTTGATTGTTATGATTTACAGGACGATTATATATTACCTGTATGTACCTTTGCTAAGTTGTAAATTAATTATTCAATAATAGTACATTGTTTACCGGGTAGGAAAAGCTTAACATTCCTGGACGACTGTGAAGATTGCTAAGTCGAGGCGCAAGCCGAGACTTAGCAACACAGAGTCCAGGAATGTGGCTTTTCCTACGAGGTAAACATACTATTTTTCCGCAAATCGTTTAAAATTCGACAGATATTGATTGATTTAAAAAAAACGCGATAATTTTATTCCCAAATAAAATGACGCTTATAAATTTAATTGCTGGTGTTCTCGAAAGTAAAATGATAAGTGATGATGAAATTTCCATTCCTGGGACTCCTCCAGAGCTGGTTGAGGTAGTGAATACTGCTTCATTAGAATTATTGCCAAAGAAATCAAGAGAAAAGTACGAAAATGCATACAGACGTTTTATGGATTATCGCATGAGTAAAAATACGAGTTCTTTCTCAGAAAATGTTGTAATGGCATACTTCCTAGACCTTTGTTTAAAGATTAAATCTTCAACATTATGGGCCAATTATTCAATGCTGAAGTCAACCCTTGCACTTAAACACAATGTAGATATATCTACATACTCAAAACTTCGTTCTTTATTGAAACGGCAAGCTCAAGGTTATAGGGCAAAGAAATCTAAGATTTTAACGAAGGAAGAAATTGAAAAATTTATCCAGGAAGCTCCAGATAAAGAAAATTTAATGATTAATGTTCTTCCAATGTTCAATAATTGTGCTGTCAAATTACTGTAAATATAACAAATTGATCTTAAAAATGTATTCAGCAATGACTTGATGTTTTCAAAATATAAATTAATTCCTTATAAGCAATGTGTTTTCTATCATTTATGTAGAACACTAACAACTGTACGGAAGTATCATTTCCTTACAGTAAGGAAATGACATTTCCTTACAGTAAGGAAATCACATTTCCTTACAGTAAGGAAGTCCTGACTTTTTCTTCAAGAAATTTTGACAGGAATGTCAAAATTTCCTGGCGATTTGCGGAAAATAATATTACTCTGGTATACTCGTATTATTCTAATTATCCCATAACCGCACTGAATAGAAGACCTCCCGCTCGCTTTATTGTATAGACCCAGGACTTTTCACCACAGGGGGTGGGTGTCCCGGTTGTAACTAGGTATAAAGCTCAACTCTAGTACAGGATGTCGTTTAGAATATTCTTCGTGAATGGATTTTGTTTCCGTGAAGAAAGATATTTTTGAAATAGAGATCCCACTGAATTTAACCGTTAGGATTTTCGATAAGCCTAAATTACTAGTTAGTTGTCGGTGGGCAATGTCACTTAGTTCAATGTATGAGATGCACAGTTGCTTCTCTTAGCAGTTAACGTCTTGAATGAAACTTCCTGTAATTTTTAGAGCTGAATATTTGTAGTCTTTCCCTTATTATCACCCGAAATTAAAATTTTTTGTGCATTATTTTATTATGCACATCTTCCGTTAAAATGAGTATGCTAATTACATTTTTTTCGTGTACCAGTTTTGTAATAACTTCAGCAAAAACGAATTTTTTTTACTAGATTTCCACGCACCATCACACCAATTAAATCGTAACGGTAAGCAAATCTGTGCAACAACTTTAATCAGACTCAGAGCTGTCTCTGTTCGGATCGGAAAAATATACAACGTATGTGTACGTTAGGGCCCTCGAACAGCCTCGAACCCAAGTTCATCATCGTTACTACGCCAAGTGTGCGTGGAATGTCTTGTCGTCCGGTTGTCGGTCGTCATCGCAGATCGGTAGCGCCCTCGCTGGCTTCTTAATTTGAGTTCTCAGCTTCTTCACCTTGCCTTGGGCCAAGGAAGTCAACTGTGGTTTTACAGGGACGGAGGATAAACGCTTAATTAGTAAGCAGATGAAGAAGTATTTACGTGCGATGTTCTGATTTATATAATTAAGAAAATCGCTATTATTACGTAGTGACACTTAGTACTTTGTATATATAAGTAGTTACCAAATTATATTAAATTAATTATACATATACAAATTATGTACACACTTATTTTCGACAATTAATTTCGTACAATATAGTAGAACAAATAATTCAAAAAAGAAGAAAACATAACCAAGAAATGCACCTAACATTCACGAATTTTAAAAGTGCATTTAATACAACGAATCAGAAGAAATTTATAGAAGATTTTTTTTATTTAGCTTTGCGTGTTCCAACAGCATAGGTCACTTACACAGGTACAATTTTATTATATTATATATATATGTATATATATATATATATATATATATATATATATATATTCCCAGTGTTTCTAGGTCTTTCTCTACTTCTTGCTTCCATCTACTTCTCGGCCTTCCTCTCCTTTTTTTTGTACCCATTGTATGCATCAGAATGATTTTTGGTACTCGAGAATTTGTCATTCTTTCTATGTGCCCTAGCCACCTGAGTCTCTGAGCCTTTACTACTCCCACTATACTAGGATTCTTGTACATATCTTCTAATTCTTATTTGTTCTTCTTTTCCATGTATTGTCTACTATCTTGCCTCCAAATATCTTTCTCAAAACCTTCCTTTCCCATATTTCGAGCATACCTGTTTCGCCTTTGTTCAGTGTTCACACTTCACTGGCGTAGGTTACCACTGGTTGTATAAATGTTTTGTAAATCCTTATTTTGGCATTCCTAGATATCTGTTTACTTTTTAATAGCCTGTTTAATGAGTACACGCATCGGTTTCCTGCCATTATTCTTGATTGGAGCTCCTCTCTAATATTTGGTTTGCATGTGAACATCTACCCCAGGTATGTAAATCTTTTCACTGCTTCAAATATATATGCTTTTTCACCCTCTACTTCTATTTTTAGATATCCTCCTTTTTGTTCACTGTCATCTATCCATTCCATGTATTTTGTCTTAATTTCGTTGAAAGCTAAGCCTATTTTCTTTGCCTCTCTATCTAGCCTCTTAACTACTTCTTGTAGCTCCCATTTGCTTCGTGCCAGTATTACTACATCGTCAGCAAAGGCTAGACATTGGTGCTTTCTTTGGTATAACAATCCCTCTCTGTTGACATTTGCATCTCGTATGACCTTCTCCATCCACAAGCTGAATAGTATCGATGATAGGGGATCTCCTTACCTTACTCCTTCACTGACTTCAAATTTTTCCGACATTATATTATTTATTTTAACTCTGCTCTCAGTCTTGGATAGCGTTATTTGTATCATTCTTATAAGTTTTCTACTGATACCCAATTCTTCTAGTGCTTTGCTCATTTGGTTCCGTTTTATTCTATCGTACGCTTGTTTGAAATCAATGAAGAGGACCGTTGTCGGCAGATTGTGTTGGTAACTTTCCGCTTGCAATTGTCTGAGCGTAAATATCTGCTCTGTTGTACTTCTACCAGGTCTGAAGCCACATTGGTACTCGCCGACAATGTTTTCTATCACTCCTGCCAATTTGTCCTTTATACACGCTGCAAGAATTTTGTATGCAGTATTCAATAGTGATATCCCCCTGTAATTTTGACAATCTGTCCTATCGCCTTTCTTATAAAGTGGGCATAGAATTGCATCTGTCCATTCTCGTGGTAGTTGTTCTTTAATCCAAATCTCCTTTATTAATTTGAACATTTGCTCCTCTAGCATTTTCCCTCCATATTTGAACATCTCTGCAGTTATATTATCACTTCCTGGACTCTTGTTATTTTTTAATTTCTTTATTATTTCCTTTATCTTGTTTCTGGTAGGGGGTGTTTCTTCTGTCTCATTTATTT